GGAAATGCTGTTGATTAGGGAAATATGTTCCAGATGTTAAGCGAAAGCAATTTCAAGAGGAAGGGAAAGTGGAAGGGGTGTGAGGTGACCCCACCCTCACAGGGAGCACAGCAGGGTCTTCTACCCTTTCAGGGCTGGGGAGCAGCAAAGTGGGAGAAGCTCTTACACACTCCCCTCAGTTTTTTTCCCCTCCAGGCAATAACACCTCCAGTTTAACCCCATCCATTAAATATCTTAATATTAAGTATCCTTTCTGATTAGCTTTATCAGATTAAAATATAAATAAATCAGAATTAAAGTATAAATATTCCCATATAAAATATACAGGAAGGAAGAGAAGGATGAAATTTTCTTCACAATTCCCACATAATTTCTTCCACACATCCTTATTAGCACAGTGTCCCTGACAGATCCAGAGGTATCTACAAAGCTGTGGATAGAGTTAAAATAGCAAGAGAAGACACTGCAGTCAGAGTGAAGACATATGTCTTAGTTCTCTGTAAAGTTAGTTAATGTGATTTAACTCTTTGTGTGCTTAGGAAAGCAGCCAAAGCAAACCAGCTGCTCATTTTTCTGGGCTGAACTACCAGTGGTCACTGAGAACTCCTTGAGCCCTCACATCTGTACTTTACTGCCTATCAGAATAATGCTGCTCCAATCAGATATTTTGGGAAAATGAAGAAAAGAGCTAAGAATTAACCCCAAGTGCTTTCCTCGGACAGCAGTGGCTGGGACAGGGGTAACTGAGGTTCACCACAGCCCTGTGTAGGCAGAATCTGTTCCTGTTTTCTAGAAAGTTCTTTAACTTAAGAAATCAAGCTCAGGAGTGGCAATGACTCATTTTCATTATGAGCATGAAGAGTAAAAACAATATATTCAGGGTGTCATTCTATTAGAACCTCCAATTTTAATGCAGGACTTAGCCACAGTATTTTCCAGAAATCCAGTCTGCACATGTCACTTAAGACTAAAATCAGGCCACTGAAAGATGCCCACTGAGAATCCTGGGAAAGGATTTCAGAGGAACTGTCCAGAACTGAGCTCAGCAACTCCCTAGAGAACTTCCTGCAGGGAGGCAGAACAAGCTGGCAGAGGACATGGACAGGATGACCTAATAGGCTTTTTCCAACTCTGATGTCTGTGATTATGTAATTCCATCTTGATACGAGACCAGAGGAGTTGACAGTTACATCTGTAGTTTCTTTTAAAAAGTTATTGACTCTACCCATGGAACAGACCAAAAATTTAAGAGAAAAACATCACATGAGTATTAGGAATTGAGTATTAGGAATTGAGGCTGTGTATCAATTTTAGGTTAATAATACTTCTTAAAAGCCATAAATGGCTTTATGGCATAAATGGAAGATGCAATGAAAGCAAAGACTGGTCTTGGTTTAAGATATGACCAGACGATATTAAGCAGAAAGGTGCTTATTACGTACAGTTTAGCACTGCTACACAGCCATGAATAAAAGGTTTGAAATTTTGTGTTTTCTTCAGCATATAAAAGAAAATGTATCTTTCCAAAGCAGAATTTGTGTCCAAAATTTCAGGACTTTTCTGCTCCTGCAGGTGTCTTTGTGTAACATATTTTCTAAAGCATTTTAAAATGAAAAATAATAAAACCTCTAATGTGCTTTCTTGGCTATGGAAATCAGAGCAGCTATGAAAAGCAATAAAGCAGTCTTTCTCTTTTAGCTGCCAACAACTCCAGAAACATATTTGCTGGAACTCCAACCCCTTACATAGAAAACATTAAAACAACTGCAACTTGATACAATTAACTGGTATTAGATTCAAAGTTTGTGAGGCCAACTGCCTTTTATGATATATTTCTTGGTACTTACATACTAATGGAAGAACTCCAAACTTTTGAAAAAATATATTCCAGATAGGCTGACTGTTAACTTATTTTTTTAAAAGTAAATGCTTTAGCAACTGCTCATCCTGTCTGCAAAGAAGGAAAAGCAGAGACACAGAATTTCTCCTGCTGTGCACCTAAGGAGCTTATCTATCTTGTTCAGCTCTCCCTCAGAATCCATTGACAGTGGTAATATTTGAGGTGCTATGGATAAAGTTTTCACTGCACTTCTCAGAATATCAGGGTTGTAACATTTCCCAGTACTTCCCTTCATTCCTGGACTTAATATTGAAGAAGGTAAATAAATCTCATTCTAAATCACAGAATGGTTTGGGTTGGAAGGAATCTGAAGAATCATCTCATTCCACCCCCTGCCATGGACAGGGACACCTTGCCCTATCCCAGGTTGCTCCAAGCCCTGTCCAACCTGGCCTTGGGCACTTCCAGGGATCCAGGGGCAGCCACAGCTGCTCTGGGTACCCTGTGCCAGGGCCTCACCACCCTCCGAGACTAGAATTCCACCCCCATATTCAATCTAAACCTCCTCTTTGTCAGTGTGAAGCCATTCCCCCTCATCCTGTGCTTTTGTAGATTAATCAATCAATCAGGCCTTTCTTCAGTCATCTGTGGCCTTTCTTCTGTGATCCTCTCTCCTGTGTGACAGGACAAGGTCAGAGTGGCAATTGTGGCAGGACAATGTCACAGAACTGGAGACGGCCCCAGAACTGTTACTCCTCTGCATTCCTTCCTCACTTGTGTGAGGAAACAAGAAATAGTGCAACAGCTCTGAAAGAAATATTTTAAAGATACTGCATAGAAAAAGAAAATTCTACAGTACAGATCAATCAGTCTGTGACCCTGAAGCCTTTTCCTATAATCTATAGTGAGACTTTAAAAGCTGCAGCTTTTGGTGCTGGTTGTGAATTATGAAGAGAAAAGGCATTTCTTATGGAATCTGTGAATCTGTAGGATGCCAAGTGAAACAATTCAACATCTTCTGAAATTCAGCTTTTCCTGTCTGTATTACGTGGTTCTTTGCTTCGCTCTAAAAGGAGCAGAACACAGGGGATTTACTGTGCCCCTTATGGAAAATATCTTCCAGCTGCTCTAATTTGGGTGTGATTTATCCAGAGGAAAGTCCTGTTAAATATGTGTACACCATGTACAGGATAGAACTTGACCTACCATATATTCTGTGTATTCTGGAGAGAAAAACAGAAGTTCAGATTGTTCTCTGATATTTTTACAGATAACAATAATTTAACTTTTTTATCTGATTCTAATTGCAGGGTTGTTATTTCTTTTGTTTACCTGTGTGTTTGTTCATTTTTTTGTGGGCTTTTTTTAAAAGTGTTGAAGCTCCTATAATTGGCAAGCAAACAGAGAAAAAGAAATGAGGATACCTATGATCAGACAGAAACATTTCAAGCCCTGAGAGAAGTAAAACTGAATGGAATTCATGAACAAATTACTCCAGCTCTTTGAGTAATCAGTTCCAATCACTATTAATAATATAACTTTTCCTTCAAAGAATTACTTTCACCTTATAAAGTCAAAGCTTGAAACCTCCTTAATCTTTAATAGAGCCTGCAACTATTACTACAGGCAGAGAGGACCCACAAATTGGAAGCCCCATGTGATTCTCTCCTTCTCCAACCAGCTCTTCTGACGATCATAAATAACAGTAAAATTACCATAAAAATTAATAGTACTACAGTTAAAGAAAATCATTATGTAAAGGTTTATGAATTTTGCAGCCATTAATAGATATAAGTTAATGAGCCATAGGCCTTCCAGAATATGATATCAGATATTTTTCCACCAATGAAACTCTCAGAGTTCCAAATCCTTCAGAGGTCACCAGTTTCAAAAATGGAACAGAAAGTTACTGTTTAATACTAATGTGAGTAAAAATGGAACAGAAGTAGTAGGCCAAGTATCATCCATGGTAATTTGAAGAGTCTAAAAGAACAAGGTCAGGAAATCTACTGTGTCAACAACTTGGAATGAAGAAAGACAAAACTAAAATATCTAAGATGAATAAGTTGCATTTTGAACACTGTGCATTTTAAATTCACTTGTACACATCATCATTTTGTTGCTGAAAAAATCTTGGCAATTAAAAGATTTTGATTCTAGAAGGGAAAGCCTCAAGACTGTTCTATAATGAATATCAGATTGTATAAGAATGGCATTTTAAAAAATGATTTTAAAAAATTGAGATTCACAATTAAATGCAGGTGGTAAGAATCATACACAAATAAACATAAAATTGTTTATATGTCCTACTTATCATATTACACTTCATATTACAATTACAAAATTCGGATACCACATCTTAAACATACTTATATATTCAAATTTTACATGTGCATTTTTTATGGTAAAACACGAAAGACAAAAGATAAAAACGGCTTCACTTTAAAGTGGGGGGGGAAAAAAACCTAACCCACCAAAAAACCCACCCCACACATCCCAAGAGTCAAGTTAAAGATTCAAAAGTCAGGGCTAGGAGGGAAAAGGAAGATAAATAATTTAGCACTAAGCATAACTAAAGCTTGTCAGTCTGCCAGCTTTAAGAGAAATAAAAAGGTTTACAAGGATCCTGAGAGTTTTTACAGAACCTCTGGGGGTTTGAAAAAATAAATCCAGAACAAGAAAAGAGTTTTGAAGTATTCTGCATAAACAGATTTTAAAAACACTGATTAGACTGTGAGAATAAGAGTAGGGAAAGATTCCTTTGGTTGGAAATGAGGCTGTTCCCTGGGGTTTGCTCTTCTGTGCCATCACCAGCTGCTCCATCCATGGATTCTCTGGGAGCTGGGAATGAGGAGCTTCCAGGAGACCAAACACTACAGCATCATAAGCAACAGGAATGAGCCCAGGTGTGGCATCAAAGGCACAGGCACTGCACAGCAGACACACAGCTACTCCTCCGCACTGAAACACCTGCTCAAACTCCAGCTCTGATTGTCACTGAGCTGAGCCATTCCTGGGTTTTAGAGTGGCCAAGACAGTGAAGGAAAGAAAAATCTCAGTGAGCCTTGGCCTCACTCTTTTATGGAGGTGGCAGTGCAGGGAATGAAAGTGGAAATTTTACATTATTCCCTTCTACTTTATTTTTTCTCTTTTTTTTTTTTTTTTTACCCTTTCCAGGAAGAATCTCTAGCAAGGTGCTTTGAGTTGCAGAAACACAGGAATTAAATGGCAAAACCTGTATGTAAAAATGTGAATTCCATATCATTCTCAGTTTTACTCCAAACTGAGATGTAACCTTGTACTTCACTGCTCAGTGTTAACTGTAGGAGAATCACAGGAAGGAAGCAAGTTCATTTAAGACATAAAGCAATTTTGAATTGCATTGATTACAGTGATCAGTCCATCACTTTAATGTCATCTCAGCTGACATTTATTAAAAAGACATACATGTGACAACCCATTGATCCTTAACACAGCAGCTGAGATAAAAAGTCTATTTGCAAAGGAAAATTACTTCTTTAATTAGAAATGGAGTATGATTTTTTCTTTTCTTTGTTAGAACCTCAGCAGCCATGGATCCAATACAGCACAGGAGGGGCTGCAGAACCTGGAATCTTCTTTGACTTAAGAATCTTCTTTGACTTAAGAATCTTCATAGTTAATCATTCAGAGTTGTGCAAATGAGCCCTGGAGATGGGAAAGAAAACAGGTTAATTCTACCTGTGTGAGAGGTCTCCAACTCAGTGTTGCTTGGGAAGAGTCTCAGATGGAGTAAGGAAGCAAATAAAATATTCCACAGACTTCCTACTAAGTTTCAATGAGTTAGCTGTGATTAGACATTACACCTCTCCTAATGACCAACTATTTGATGAAAGACAACCCAGGAAATACCACCAAGAAATATGCTGTAGAAATGACTGAATACTGTCAGTCATTTAATGAATATAAAAAAAATTAATCTCAGTCTACCAGATAAAATGATAAATATGTTTGATACACCGTGAATGAAATACTGCTCCAGAAATTCCAGGAGCACTCCTTGTTGGTGAACAGAATTTTGAAGCCAAGTTATTTAGCCTGTGGACCTGTAAAATCCAATTTTCAACATTGTTTTCTCTTTGTACAAATCTAAAATTACATATTTGTAAAATGTTATATTTCATACAGTGTTGCTTTTAGTTCTATGGTTGACCAGTCTGATTCTCTTTAGAGAATTGTCTTATTTCTATAAATTATATTAATGATTTCCTACTTCTCAGAAATGCAGGGACACCTCCACACTCTACAAATGTAGATTCCACTCCTTCCACTCTTCTGACAGTTGTATTTTATACTCTACTTGAAAAGCATGTAATTCAACAGATCTGGGTTTAATTTTTATAAGTTTACACCATGAAAATCACAAGCTAATATTGAGGTGGACTAGACAAGTAAATATCCACATTCTTGTGTTTGTAAGCTTTTTATATCAAGTGACATCAATTCCGGATAAACAACTCATATTGCATTTTCTCCAGTAATTAAAATTAGAAAAAAAATCAATGCACTGCTTATTTCTTAGCTGAACACAGAGTCCATTTGTCTGGCAAAAAATGTCCAGACTGAATATTTATTTACAACAAAAGTCTTCAGATTCTTCAGATTCTTTTGTACAGTATGTAACCTTTCAGATTTACTTATATTGCTGCCTACGAATAAACTCACAGTAACTTCTCATCTACTCATAAAAATAACTTAATTGGATTGCTATTAGATATTTAATTGGCTTCACAATGATGGTACAGTATCTGCCTATAAAACTTAAGATAATATTGCCTTAATTCATCTGAGTAAACTATCAATTCCCTTACAACAATAGACAAAAATCTGCATTCCTCTTTTAACTTTTCCCTGGGTGCAGATTAAAACTTTCAGGTGGCAGATCTTTATTTTGCTATAAACTCTCCAAATAGTTTAGAATTATGAAAAAGTTTCTGTTCAGGAGAGTGGAATGATTTGAGTTGAGTGATTTTTATATCCTTGGTTTACAAAAGATAAATTATTCCTAGAAGCCTGGGACCATAGAACAAGAGGCACCAAGAGACTCAGTGCTCTAAACACAGGACACAGTTGTGTACAGAAGGAATGTGTAAAGTTGTGTACAGAAAGAATGACTTACATGAAAAAATTAATGGATGGAATTCGTACCTGCTCCAATTCCAGAGCCTTGTGTGGGATGATGCTAATATAGTCTAATAATATCAGGATCAAAGATGAGTGGAATAAAACTTCCAATTTTAGATGCTCTTTATCTGCAGGTGTGAATGTATAATGAATTCTCACCACTGGCTCCTATTATAAATCCAATGATTTTGTACTCTGTGACAGCAGTTTCTACAATTTTCTTTTGGCACAATCTGCTTGGAAGATATGACAAACCCGCGGGGTGCCAAAATGCTTCTCTAAATGCTCTACTTTGCAAGACAGCTTCCAAGTGTGACCCTGATGAATCTTATCAAACTCTTGGAATAGAATAAACATGAAGGAAAGAATCCATGTATCATTTACTTAAGTGTGTATTTTGTTGTTTTTTTACATCTTGCTGCACAGCCATACCAAAGGATTCATCCCAGCATTTGGAGCATTTTAAACCCAGGTTAAGTAGAAAACCATTATTGGGTAGGATAGAATTTCACTGTGGCTATTTTTGAATCCTACTGCCTCAGACAAGTGCAATGAATCAGTTAATGCCACCTTAATTACCATGTTAGCTGTAATCAAGGAACCACTCTTCCCATCCATTCTGTGTAGGGAACTTTCTGAACTAGGTGGCAGATTTTCCAGTGGACAAAGCCACCTTCTGGCAGATTACAAGGGTCAGGATTTGACAGAATAAGGCTGTATGACTCTATTTTAATTGAATATCAGATCATTTTAATGATACAGGAGGTCTTTCATTGCCATTCATGGAGACGGTTCAGTGATTAACTGGGGAGAAGCATTTATGTGCAAAAGCTACATAAACATGGGGAGGGGATCATTTCACATCTGCCAAAATACTGATTGGAATTAAAGTAGATTCCAGTTTGCAACACAAATTTTCAAAGGCTTCTCATTTTATCAGCTTATCATGCCATGCCCTGCTGCAAACACCAAGGACTGGACAGTGAGGACCAGCAGAATGCACTGAGAGGGTTCCTGAGTACAGGTACAGGGAAAAGTGAGCATGCAGAGAGTGGACTTGGGTTGTTCCCTCCTCCACTCTTGGTCTAGGAACCCTAAATGCTGTGTTCTATTTATTATTTCTGCATTGCATCAGGGGGGAAATATTCGCACTGAGCCATGGGGATTAAAGACTGAATCTCTAGAGAAGCTGGATCACATCCATCATATCCAGCTGTTTTCAATTCCAACATCTCACACCTGCTTTTATTTATTATTCCCAGGCTAGACAAGACAGGGCTCATTTTTCAGTCTTTACAAGCTTTCCTAGAAAAGACACAAATCAATCTATTCCTTCCCCCTTTTCCTCTGCAAGAGAACATTACAGCAAACTCCTGACACTGTGCAGACCTGACCTACAGGAGCCTCTCACATCCTGAGGCTGGACAGCTCCCTCTCTTCTCCCAGCGTGGGGACAATGGCCCAAAATCGAACAGAAACATCATCAATAACAGAAATCTGTGTCAGCACAGTCTTAACCCCACTTACTCCCAGAGATTTCAAATACCTTGTCTTCATCTTACATTGGAGATGGACTCAAGAGGTTTGGGTTGTGGTGAACGAACAAACTGATTCATAGAATACTTTAAGTAATGGGTTCTCCACTTTTACTCATTTTCAGCTTCCATTCCAGGAGTCTGTTTGCTGGCAATCCACCTGAATCACTTTCTGGTTCTTTATCTGGAGATCACACTGCCTGAGCATTTGATTGTCCTTTTTATCAAGTATTTTTTCCAGACAGGGACTGAAAAGTCATTCCTTTTGCAACCTTCTCTCATGTCATAGGTTAGCCTTACATTAGGATCTTTATAACTATTAACTTTATAACTTTATAACTGTATAAGAGTAATAATCCAGACCCATTTAAAATGCAAGCCAAATGTCCCAGTCCTCCTTGTCCTTACTGCACAAAGATTTTCACAAGTGCAGTTCTTCCTCTCACACATCTGGCACACCAGGTTATTTGATGGAGCAAACTTGCGTCTAGATTGCAATTCATCCATCTCACTTTTTGAATCAACCAAGTACATAAAGACCTTCCCACACCAAAGAAACAGGCCCTTAAGTTCTTAAAACGTTTGAAATTCTTGCATGAAATTTAGCACTGAATCACAAAGTACTATCATCTGTAATGAAATGCGTTGAAATGCTGAATACACTTGCTTTAAAAGGCAACTCTGCCACATTACTCATTAAAAAGTCAAGGATACACCATAACAAGAACAACTGTCAGTCTGAATTCAAAACCAAACTGATTTCCTAAAATTTGAAAGCCTGTAATAAAATTTACCTAGAACTGCCATAACACTGATGTGCTGTAAATCTACCCAGTTTTGGGAAGACCAAGGCACATTTACCAGACAGACATCAAGGCAATTGCCCATGATACAATGTTAAAAAAACCCAACAAAACCTTATACGTTTTGCAGTAGCATCAAGTCTCTATTCAAGTGTAAAAAAATTAATTGACTCCATCTGTATTGGCCTAATGACTGATTAAATGACTAATCACGGAAGTCTTAATTAAAATCATTTTTCTGTAGAGAAGAGGATGGAGGGAGGAAGGCAATCATTAATGTGTTCTAATATATGTCAGATTCCATTTCTGCCTTTTCCTAACAGCCACCAAATGAGTAATTACACACAAGGTCATTCTGTAAACTTTGTGGTCACATGCACTGATTGGATCTGGGTTCTGAACAGGGCTGCTTCTTCCCCATCACAGAGCAGGTAATTAATAGTGCTCAGCATAAATAATAAAGGAAGCTGACATTTCCTCTTCCATCACCAGCCAGCCCGGATTCACACACAACTTCCATCCTCTGCTGGTGAAGCCCCATACTTCACACACTCTATCAGAATTCAATATTCTCCATGCACTGACAGGGATCCCCATCACGCAGGGAAATTCCAGGAATTTTTCCTGCATTAATAAAATGACCAGGCAATTAAAAGTATCCTTTTCAAGTAAAACAGAAGGGCAGAAGGGCAACTTATTTTAAATTTTATTTGCCAGCCATCTGACAACCTGATGCATAGTGATCTCTGCTATGGAAAAATAACAAGCTGCTTGCACCTCAACAGCTGAGAAGAATCTATTTAAAGCAATATATTACAATGTTTAATGGAATAAAAAAGTGTATCTTGAGACTGGGTAAACCAGCTTTCCATGGCATGTAACCCTTACACAGCACCTACGCTTTTTGATGAAACATTGCAGATAAAATATCAAAGTCCAAACTACAAAGTGTAACACAAAATATTTTGTTTGCTAAATGCTCTCCTGAAATTCTATAAATTGTTATTTGCAACCACAGCAAATCTGCACATCACCAGCTGCAACAATTTTCCATATTCCAGATGACAATATGTTATCATGTATAAAAGAAGGGGTTTTATAAAATTAAAATCAAATGCTTTAATAGGGAAGAAAGAAGTTTGTACAGTCCTGTCACTTTTATCAACAAATGTCCAATTCTACAACTTTCCCTCAAAATCCTGAATTCAAACATGCAGCACTGGTGTGAGCTGAAGATGCAGAATTAGGGGCCAAGTAAGTTCCAGTTCTTCTAAAATAACTGAACCAACATTCTGTACTGACTAAGTTTCTTCAATTACTGTTTTTCCTAACCAGACGTATTCTGACCCATAATCCTGATGAGGAATATCTCTGCAGTGCTACTGGAAATGAACATCCTCCTGTGTACAGACAATGTGGTGCTTTAGAGTGCTCAGCTGACTAAAAATAGGGCTCAGAATACAGAGGGAAAAGCTAAAGGGACAAAAATATGAAAAGAGTATTAAGTCATTACATGACTCTATAATGTCCAATTACATTTCTAGCATGATTACGCACTACTCTGTCTAAACCATTCAAAATTACTGAAGTCACAGAACAATGTAAGTAAAGATATATCAAGCAGCTTCATCCAGATTTCAAGAAAATACAATTTTCAACTGCTCTGAATTAATTATAACACAATCTTGACCCTACTTACCACGTAACAGAAGAAAACAAAAATATGTGACAACAACTCTCTGCTTGCAGTAACTGTCAGTGTCACATATGAAAGAAGTTCATTTTACTAATAAAGGAAATAGAATTGAGTGATAGATTTAAAATTAAATTCAGCTATTCTATAAATGTCAATCAGAGTTTTAAGGTGGCTCTCAAGGCTTAAAACCAGCACTGAGACTCAAACGTGCCACTCTCTGGGCTTCTAGGGAATTAATGAAGATCAGTCTCATCTTCCTTTGAAGACACATACATTTAAAACAACCAGAAAATCCATCACCACCACACCAGAACACTCCAAAATAAAACAACATACAGATGGCACAGTAAATCTTTCAAAACCTTTTTTGTGGAATAATTCAACACAATCTGCACTACTCTGCTAATGCAAATGAAAACTTGCACAACTACCTAAATTACAGGGTGGTGTGCCATTCTTAATCTTCTCAGAAATGTAGGAGTTCCTGTTTCAATCATTTCCATTGTTTGAAATACACCCAGTGATAATGGAGCGGCTGCCACTGCAGGCAGAGAGCAACTTCTGGGTGAAGCTAATTAATAACTCTGTTCTTGCTGCTGGTTGGAAGTGATTGTAGACAGAGGGAAGGATCGAGGTGTGAGACAGCTGAGACTGCTCTGCCCAAAATTCAGCACTGTGCTTTTTCTGCATAAATTTATTATTTAGGTTACTCCCGGTCTTTGATGGTGTAAGATATTTAAATGTCAAGCATTTTGAGTGTTTCATTTCAGGGACCTCTCAGGCAGATCCACTCAGCACACAGGGACAGACCCTTCCCATCACAGTGTGACAGGCCATCCAAGCTGGTTGAACACCTTTTATGTTTCTTCAAGTATTGAAAAGTACTAAGAAATCTTATGCTCAAAGACAGACCATAGAGAATGATGGTGTCTTGTGAAAGCACCTCCAGCTATTCTAGATCCATTAATCTGGGAATTTGCCACTCTTTAGGCCACTTAATTGGATAAGACAAATGGGTTCAGACCAAAAGGTCTGAATGCATCCAGGTGATGCCATTTAAGGGAAAGATTCCCAACAATCTACACTCAGTTGCCTGGTCACACTGCAAAAATGAGGACACAGTTGCTGCATGTGGCAAATGAAGCTTTTTTGAGTGTGCTTTAAGGTGTTCATGGAATCATGGAATCCCAGAATGGTTTGGGTTGGAAGCCTGGAAAGTCCATCCAGTTCTATCCCCTGCCATCAGGAAGGATTCCTTTCACTATTCCGGATTCCACACCTCTGATTTCTATGATTTGCCAGTGCATATTGTCCTTTCTCTTGTGACCTAAGCATGACTTCTCATTCTGGTTGAAGGTGAGAAACCATCTTGTCTGACAGAGAAACTACTGCACCTCACTGGGCCCAGCCTGATTAGACACTGGGACTATGGTCTGTCCACAGCAGCCAGTACTGTTAACATTATTTGATGCTTTGCTGTTGGCTGAACTAATGGCAAAGGTGGAGAATGTCATCAGGGAAGATCTGCTCAAGTATTTCGAGAGCCTGTAACCTATTCTACTGCTGAGAAATTAAAGCAAACATTGAAGAAGTTACCAGTAGCAGGCTGCAGTAAAAGTCACTTTCATCACAACCCAAATAATGGGGAGGTTAAGCAATACCTTTCTCTGAATTGCTGCAACTTTCATCCATATCAGAGAATTTCTATCTCCCTGCTCATTTTTTCAACTAAGAAATGCAAATGAGCTCTGCCCTATTTTTCTGTTTGTTTTGTACACTGAGCACAATTTCTGCCTGAATGTCCAACTGTATTTCCATCCTCTTTGTGTCACACAAACCTCATTTACCAGTCATTCTTCTCCACATGAAGAGATCTATAATGAGGAGTCTTTCTGTCATTGCCCTGCTCCTCTGAGTCAGGAGTTTTCATTTCCCCCTAATACTTGCTGCTGTAGCTACAATTTCATTTACTGTCATACCACAGCCTTAATGTGAGCACATCTGTGGCTGGAGCATGGAAGATCCAGGATTGGTCTCTGAGCTGCCTATCGATTAAACAGTTACAAGAAAACAGAGGGTTTATTTACCATGCTCTCACATGGTACTTATAAAAAGGAAGGTTTATTCACTGTACTTGAAATGGCAGTTTATTCTTCCAGTTACTTAAATCTCCCCTATCAAGCAGAAAAATGTAACTGAAAGCACTGAAAATCTACGGCTTGGGTTAACTTCTGATCCATTAACACCACAAAGGCTCATTATATACTTTCCACACCAAATTACATCCTAATTTTTCAGTAAAATCAAACTAGTGTGTTTTGGTGATAGTTTGGTTTGCTTTTTTCCTTGAGAGCAGGGATTTTCTGTGATCAAATAAACAATAATTTTTATATTAATTAAAATAACAATGAACACTGTCATAGTTCAAACCTCTGTTTCAAAAGTTGACCAACCTAATAAGCAGAAGAGAAGGCTTTCTTCTCTATGTAATTCTTTTCTTTTTAACTATCTACATTCTCTGGAATGTAATTTTGGAGGTTTGTTTCAACACGCCAGTTTTCAAGTTGCAAAGTTAGGTGTAACGGCAAGGTTAGATGGAATTACTCAAGTCTCATCAGAGCATAGTGTAAAACTTAGTTTAAAAGGTTTTCTCACCTAAAACCATGTTCTCCTAAAACCATCTGATGACAATTTTAAAGGTATGGTGAAATCCCTTCCCCAATCTATTTCATTTGAATGAAGGGGGAAAAAAGCTCTACTAAAACAAGAAAAGCACTTAAAACCCCCATCCAAGCACCAAACACCCCAATACCAAAACCTCTCATAAGTGAAGGACTGAAAAATGTTATTGCAAGCCCAAGCCCAGGCTACAAGGAAGTAAGAGGTGCAGTGGAGTAAAATGTGAAGGGCAATGCGACTCCCCCAGGTAACCAAAACCCAGAGCCTCGTCCAAGGGGACAGCACCAGGGAGGGGAGGTGCCTTGCAGGGGCATAAATGTGCTTAGGACAGGCAGCAGCCTCCAGCTGAGCATCAGCAATCCTCATTCACACATACCTGCTGTCTTCCCTCTTCTCCTGTGAGACTGTCATCTTCTCAGCTTTCTCAGCAGATATCCTGCCACTTGGCTTTTTGCCTCCTTTCTGGAGGAAAAAAAAAAAGTATTTCTGTAGTGCATCGGGGAAGTGCCAAAAATGTTGTAATTTATGATGTGCTAGTGTTTTCCTTTGCATTCTTAAGTTAAGAACAAATGCAAAATCATCAGCACTTGACTATGGTGGATTTTGATTTACATACATTAAGATTCTCTCCTATTATTTATTTCTGTAAACAAAGTTGGATTCTGGTCACTAAACTATCAGCATCCCCTGCAGTGTGAAGACAAAAGCCAGAATGTACAACTCAACAGTCAAAAGAATTTGAAACCAGAAGTTGGAGCACATTTGATCAGCAATCTGATCTGAGACTCTCATCTGCTTTTCCTTTTTGGAACATTCTTATTGGGAGTGAAGTAAATAGTTCTCTATAAAGAGTCAATAGTTACCTATGCCTGAACTTTGGGAACTGGCACATCTTATTTTCTCAGTTTAAATAACAGGATCTAGGCTTTTCCCCTAGAATTTTCCCAATACAGCTTCAGTTATTTTCTGAACTATTTCCTGGAACTAAATGCATACACCATTGCTTTGCTCATTTTGGTGTATTGTATCCATACAAACACAGTACTTTGCACTAAGGCTGGCCCAGACAGAAGTTTAACAGCTTTTACTTTTCTTCCTTTTCTGAAGTCTCTTCAGAATCTCACTGCAAGTAGCACTGCAAACCTGAGGAATGTTGACAGAATTACACAAATTTTGGGGTTTTTTTCCCCTTTACACTCAGGTTTAACCAAACTGATTCCACCTTGCATGGTTTTTGCCACAACCAACACAGTGAACAATTATGGAACACAGTGACCCCTCATGATGTTTTTTTACCAAAACACCCTGCAGGAACCAAAATTTCCCTATTACTTAATTTCTGCTCCCTGTGAGACCTGCAGAGGATGCTTCGGTTACCTCCTTAATGGGTGGAAACTTGCAAAAGGATTCACAACACAAAGCAGAAGCCCGAAGAATATTTGATGGGTCATCCCCTATCCTCGCAGGAATGTCTGGTGTTGGAAAACTGTTGTTTAATATGAACCATTAATAGCACTGCTTGGCTCAAATTTTGTGGGGTGAAGTAGAAAGAAAGATCATGTTCTACAGCAATGCTTTATCTGAGCTAGAAGACCTTAAATAAGAACTTTGCAGTTGGCAGTGCAGCAGTTTCCTCCACAGCACCATAACTTTACCATTATATGGTGCAATAAAAGTTAAGCCTTTGCCTCTGCAAGGACATTAAATAACATCTTTCTCCCCATTAGCTTTTGCTGTAGTAGCAGTATTTATTCTCTGGGCAATGAGTGAGAACCACACTCCTTGCAGAATAACTCCATGTTCTTAATGCACTAACAGTTTCAGAAAGGTTCCTTTGTCACTAAATTTAATGTGTTTTTAATATTATTATATTATTAATTGATAGCTCTCATGCTACAGTTTTAAAGGAAATGTTTAAGAGCCTCTTAAACATCACTGAAGTCCTACATGTGGATAATCCATTTATTTAAAAAAAATTCTTCATGCCAATCTTTAGCTGAAATAATATTAAAATAAGCAGCTGTTCAAAGAAAGGTGTTCAAGATCAATTGTTTTGAAGTCCTGACAGGATTTCACATCAGTCCTCTGAGACACCTCTAGTGATAGTTTAGTGGTCCCACTTTACAAAGCACAGGAATTTCAGACAGCAAATGAAACACCTAAGCTGAGCATTAAAATAAATTCCTGTTTCACATGCTTTCAAGTGAAGCTAAAGCATCCAAATCAGAGAATCATTCCTTTAGTACTCCCTTCATGTTGATTTTAATTATAACAATTATATTATAACTACCAGCAAGACAAGGCTCATGTGCCACCTTCAGGGGCTAAGTGACAGCAGAATTACTCCTTCCATAACAACCCTTCGATACAGGGCAGCCTGACCTCTCTGGGAGTGAAATATCAATTAATTATCTTTTTACAGTCAATTCAATTACAGCACACTAATCACTTGTGTAGGATATCAAGCCAGAAGTTGAGGGTGGGTGGGTGGCTGTGGAGAGGAAGGAAAAAACATTGGCAGGGTAGGACCCTCAGTGAGGCTGACAGGGCAGTAACCCCACAGGTGCAGCTGAAATGTTTGTTAACATCTCACAAAGAGTTATTATCTGTTTGCAGTGGAATAAATGCTGCAAAATCATCCTCATTTAACTGAAGGTTTTTAAAAAGAAAGAGTTATTGGTGCTGTGGGTAATAGACATTTCATTTAAAGGTGACCAGACACACTGCATTAGTCTTTAATTGCTGGAGTCAATTTACCAAAGAGCTTAATTCATTCAGGGAAAAAAAAATATAAAATATTATCTCTTCAGCAGAAAACAAAATATATTTAATTTTTGTTAAATGAACTAGTATTAACTCAAGTTACCAAGGACTATTTCACTACTGTACTGATACCAAAGAAAATTATAAAGTCTGATCTATCTACAGTAATACACTCAGCAGAACAGCAATATAGAAGAAAACACGTTTTAATTTATGACCCCGTTAGCATTGCTATAGATGTCAAACTTCTGAGATCATGAATAAACACATTAGTATATGCAATCAACCCCAAAACTTGACTCTATTTCATTGACGACATTGGCAAAATAAAATGGGGCAGTGGCTGTCTTTCCCTTCTCCCAGGTAACAAGGGACAGGACAAGAGGAAATGGCTTCAAGTTGCACCAGGGGAAGTTTAGAAAAATCAGGAAAAGTTTCCTGGGGTTGACCAGTCAGCTGGATGGAGTTTCCGTCCCTTGAAATTTTCAAAAAACTGTGGCAGGTTGGGCCATGGTTTGGTAGTGAACATGTTGGTGGTACTAAGTTCACAGCTGGTCTTGGTCTCTCCCAACCTCAACAATTCCATGATTCTATGACTTCATCTGATTGTTCACTTCCTTTACACTTTTTAACACAATCCTCAGGAACTCAAATTGAATTTGAGTGGTTTTAATTGAAAAAAATATTATCTTACAGTGAAAAATGTAAGATTCTTCTATTTTTGACCCTAATTTTCCTTTTTGTTTTCTCTGTATAGTAGTTAGTTTAATAAGTAGTTAGCTCACTAAAGATATTTTTTGTGAGAATGACTCTCATCCATATTAAACCATTCTGTGGAAACAAAGACTTCACTCAGGGGGAGGGTTCATCAAACCCACTAAAATTATAATCATTTAATAAAAGTAATGTCTAGTCTGTATTTAAAATATTTTCTCAGGCAGCACTTTAGCATATTGTGTGTTCCAAACAAAGTGCTGTTGCATAGTCATTAACTCTGCACCATGGAGATCTTATGAAGAAAATAATGAAGATTTTAGTAATGTAAAGAATATTAAGTTTTCTTACGGACAAAAAACACACCCAAGTGCCCACAAAGATGATAGGAGAGAGTTTTGCTGGAGTTCAGAGTAGCCACAAGGGTTTGAGCTGTTTAAAGGAAAAGCAATATGTTATTTATCCTGAGAAAACCAGGGCTAGAAGGAAGCAATCTGTACAGTATCACTCAGAGGATCTGGGCTCAGTGCACAAACCCTCTCTTTGCCTGCCATTCCCATGTCACATCCACTGCATTATGATGTTACACCAAGCAGCCTTCAGGAACTACCCCAGAAAAATTCCTGCAAACATCCAGATCTACAGGGAAATGTTAAATACGACACAATGGCTGTTGAACCTGAGAGTCTGCCCTGTAAAGAGTTGTTTCAAACTGCAAGTATGAAAAACTGTCTTAACAATTAGAGGAAAAATGTCTCCAACTCCTTTATTTATGGTCAATATAAAGTAAGACTATCTTCAAATGTTGGATTTATTTTTTTAAAGTGTTCTCAAATCCAATTTGAAAAGAATTGTTTGAGACATATGCACTGCAGCTAGCAGACAATAACAGTCCTGCAATTACCAGCACCTGCATTCCAATTCAGTGGATTGACATTGCCGAGGGGCCATGGCAGATTCCCTACTGACAACAATTAGCATCAAAATGTTCCCCAGTGTAAAACTGTGGGTGGGAATTACAAAAGGTTAACAGACTAAATATAAAAATCTTTTTGAATATGAAATCAATGTGCTTTGTTACTGAAATCTGGGTACTGTAATTTAACCAAAATAGGGATTAGAGTCTCTGGCAATCTTCCATGTGTGTGAGCTTGGCTTTTCTTTAAGCAAAATGCTAAGCAGCCAGTCTGAAAGTTTAAAACAAAACAAACCCAAGAGCCAAAGGAAAGTATTCTATAGTTATGGTTTTTTTTCTTTTTCCTTAGCACCAAAAGGAACACCACTTGTATCAAGGCTCACAATGATGCTGTTACATGGTCAGACACAAAATCTCAAATTATTTTAGTGCATGATTTAGAGAGGAATATATGTCAAAAGTGGTCAAAAAAACCCCCCAAAAAACCCTGAGTGGTCAAAATCAGCTAGAAGTTTCTTTACTCATTTGTGTTCTAATAACACACAGTTTTCTCCAAAGATCATCATTACATCACTATATCCATATATTTCAGATGTGGCTTCAATTTCTCTGTAGCTACCAGGGCAATGAAAAAAAAAAATATATGTTTTTATAATGCTTGGAACCACCACTTTACTTTATTTAGACTGAAGTTACAAGCAGAAGAGATAAAAACAAACAAAAAAAATGGTCACTAAAAGTACATCAAAACATTGCATTTGATAAGAATATGGATTTGTAACAGACATCAACAAGAAGGGTGTTCAGTAAAAACACAGAGTTGGGAAGTTTAAATTTATCTAGGTTATTCTTTGTGTTTTTGATTGAGAAGATAAGTGGCCATGCAGGAACTTTGGATCTAGATAAATTCAAAGCAAGAGCTCTGACATGAAAGCTTAATTCCTGTTACCAACCAATAAATCATCTTTTTAAAAAAATAGTTAACAAGTCTCAGAATGACAATGCGGGAAATTTATCCTGGGCTGTGGAGGCTGCAGAAAAGCTGAGCAGGTATGAGATTTGTACAGTG